TTGATTACCTGCCCTGTCAGTTCCTCCCTAAAAGAAAACACAGCAGGTAGATAGTAAAGTCACCTAAACAGAAGATGTGAACAAAAAAATAAAGAAGGATCAGAAAGCACACTGACATCAATGAAGTCTATCTGCACCAAAACAGGCCAGCTTTAGCCTGACATTAAAGGTAGTGTGGTGGCTTTTGCTCTTTGAGTAGGCAGTTTCACTGAAAAGTTCCAGGGAAAAACGGAGAAACTGGGAAGTTCCTGGACAGTTCTTGGTTCTGCCACTCACACACACAGTAGCCAGAGACGAAGCTGCTGGAGGACAATGTGTTTCCTCATCTGTAAAATGAGGATAATAACATTACCTACCTAGTAAGGGAACACATAAGTAAATACATACCAAGTGTTTCAGAGTGCCTGACACGTGGTCAGCCCTTGATTGGCATGGGTTTTATAATAAACTCATCCTTTCAATAGCACAAAACTCCTAACTAAGATCATCTGACAGTGTTCCAAATGTATGTATACAACTAAACAATATTTTATTTTTATTTTGTTGTTATTAATTATTTTGTTCCAGGATGCTTACCTTATTTTTTGAGAAGGCCTCACTAAGTTGCTTGGGACCTCAGCTAAATTGCTGAGGCTGGCCTCAAACTTGCAATCTTTTTGCCTTAGATTCCTTACTCACTGGGATCACTGGCATGCGACACAGTGCCCAGCTACCAATGATATTTAAGGAACCAGCTCAACTTAGTCTTTCCTACTACACACTGACAACACCAGCAAGCAAACAATCTGTAGCACCACCTGGGTGCCCTCAAATCCAATTCAGTTCTGACACTCTACCAGGAGATGCCAGGTAAGGGCTCAGACCCCATGACTGCCCCACACACCAGATGCTCATCAAAAAGCCCAGGTTCTTTCACCTGTGTTTCTGATGCTGGCTATTAATCAGGGTTTCCATAAACCCTTCCTTAGATTTAATTATCTTTTTTTGAAAGGCTCACAGAACTCAGGGAAACACGTCTTATGCTTATTAGCTTTTTAAAAGGATATTTCAAAAGCTGCTGCTGAAGAGATGCAGAGGTTCACCTGTGGGAAGGGCCACAGCTTCCATGCTCTGCAGGCACATCATCTTCCGGCAACCTCCATCTGTTCAGCCTGACCTTTTAGAAAGGTTTTTATGGAGACTTCATTATGCAAGCATGATTGAAGCCTGGAGAACAGTGTAGACATATGATAGGACAAAAAGAATATGATCTAATGCTACTTCCGAAATCTTACTGCCAATACCTTTTTATTCCTGCTTGTCTGAAACCTCCCTTCACTTGCATTTCCCAGAAAGGCCTGTCAGATTTTTCTTGGCCTCTGTACAGTATTCCTTTTTCCAAGTGTGGGGCAGGACCCCTTCTGTAATTGGGATCTTAATGATCTACATCAGACATGATCTTTTTCTTCTTGTGTGTGTGCATGCACGCGCAGGCTGGGGGCCAAACCCATGGCCTCATACATGCTAGGCAAGCACTCCACCACTGAGCTATACCCCAGTCCAAGGTAATTCCATTATAGCCAACTCCAAGACAGAAAGGAAGGGGAAGATTATAGTTTCTACGGCCTGCCTTGAAGAGGGAGTTATAAGCCAAGGCGGCATGGGAACACAAATTATATATATATATATATATATTTTTTTTTTTTGAGGGGTGAACTGGGTATTTTACTCAGGGGCACTTGACCATTGAGCCAGGCTATTTTGTATTTTATTTACTGGCAGGATTTCACTCAGTTGCTTAGCACCTGCTTTTGCTGAGACTGGCTTTGAACTCACAATCCTCCTGCCTCAGCCACCTGAACTGCTAGGATTTCAGGTGTGTGCCACCGTGAAAATTCTATATTTTTGCAACATAAGAATATTTATTTAGAAGTTCTCAATTGAGGGCTCAGGTTGTGGCTCAATGGTAGACAACTTTCCTAGCACGTGTGAGGCACTGGGTTCAATCCTCAGTACCACATAAAAATAAAATAAAGGTATTGTGTCCACCTACAACTAAAAAAATATATTTAAAAAATTCTCAATTGGCAACAAATTCTGAAAAGAAACCTAGGGCAGGAAGCTAACTCCTTTTAAGGGATGAAATTCCAAGACACCCCCCAACCCCACAGTACCTTGGGTTGCAATACAGGTTGAACTCCCAATCTAGAATCCTAATCCTCTGGATATTTCAGTGAAAAAGGGAAACTAGTGAGAGCCATAATTCTCTATCATATCTTCATTATGAAGCAGCTCTGGTACTTGAAATGCTTCTCCCTAGCAAGCTGGCTTCTATTTTGCCAACCCCTCTAGGGGGCAGTGTAGTCGTGAAAAGGGCCGTGCAAGCAGGCATGGAGGCAGAATGGGTAAACCCAGCCCACACTGCTGTCCCCAAATGCCCTTCTTCCTCTGTATATAGAAGAGTCACATTGGCCCAAAATGCAAATACCACTGTATGTTGAAAATGTTCTGTTTCAGGGGTAGAAGACCTCAGGGCAAGAATAGGGGTGGAGGGAGAGGATTTCCAAAGAACTGGGCAAGGTTCTATTTTGGTAGTGATCACAGGGTGTTCATTGTATAGTAATTCTTTGTTTGTATGTGGTGCTGAGGATCGAATCCAGGCCACACACATGCCAGGTGAGCGCTTGAGCCACATCCCCCAGCCCTTGTATAGTAATTCTTTATAGTCAATTCTACTCCTGTGACTTTTTCTCTTAAATCCAGCATATTATAAATAAAAATACACAAACATCAACTATCAATTTCAATTTTTAATAATGGAAACATTTTGCTATTCCAGAAAAAATTTCAGGGGAGAAAAATCTTCCCTATAAAAATAAACTCATCAAAATTATAAATATTATAACTTTTTTACTTCTGCAATTTAAAATGCTCCCCTGCAATACCACCCCTTCATATAACACCTTTCCTGTACC